TTGGAAGATATTAATAAGTATAATATAGCCAATATGAAAAAAATGTACATTTCAATAGGAGAAAACATGTACCTTTCACAGTACACATTGATATTCTAAAGTCTCACAAAAGAAGAGACTGTTAACTAATTGTCTATAATAATTATTTAAGCATGGAACATTTTTGGCAATCTTTATCTGAACTTCTCCACTCATCCCTTGAAGCTGTAATTGTACTTTCCTAATAAAAACATTTTAATATAAAAAACTTAGCATGTATTAGTAGTTAACAGTCTACAAAGGTAATACTCAGATGAACAAATATATTTTAAAATTCAAAAGTCATGTGTTACAGGTTGAATTATGAAACTCTGCCTCCACTCTCAGAAACAATGTATGTTAGATTCCTAAGTCACAAAATATATGATCTTATTTGGAGACACTGATATTCAAGTTAAAATTAAGTCATTAGGTAGACCTTAATCCAATATGACCAATATCCTTTGTTAAAAGAGGAAAGATTAACACAAGGAAAGGCCAGGCTCTATAGTCTGACATCTATTATCTTAGTTACTCAGGAGGCTAGGATCTCATGGTTCAAAGCCAGTCCAGTAACAAACCTGAGACTCTTATCGCCAACTAACAAGTAAAAAGTCAGAAGTGAAGGTGTGGCTCAAGTGGTAGAGCACCAGCTTCTTCAGAGTACAAAGGCCCTGAGCTCTACTGAAGTAGAGTGCGTGTGTATGCGTGCACGCACGCGCGCACGCGCGCACACACACACACACACACACACACACACACACACAGGAGAGAGATGTGAATAGAGGAAAAATAATATAAAAATAGGAAGAATGCTACTTACAAGACAAGACATTCCCAAGGCTTCGAGAGGTAAGAGACAAGAATATAACTGATTGCCTCCTGCAGTGCTTGAAGGAACCAAACTTACTGCTGTCTTGGTTTAAGACCAAGTTACCTCCATAAACTTTAGACAATAAATTTGTTGTATTAAGCCACCCTAATATTTTGTTATAGGAAACGAACAGACATCATCGACAACATCATCATCATCATCATCATCTTTATCATCATTATTCTTATTCTTATTATTAGTGTTGGAGCTCAAATCCAGGTCTTTAGCCAGATACCGGTGACTCATGTCTATAATCCTACCTAATGAGGAGGCTGAGATTTGAGGATTGTGGTTCAAGGCCCTGAAGATTTCTAATTAACCACCAAAAAGCCTGAAGTATGGAAATGTAGCTCAAGTGATAGAGAACCAGTCTTTAGAAGAAAAGCCAAGCTAGAACACATGGCCCTGAGTTGAACTTCCAATACCAGTATAAAAATGAAAAACACCAACAACCAAAAAACCCAACATGCTAAATATACATTCTACCAGTTAACTATATCCCCAGGCCCAGGCATACTATTAATCAAACTACTTTAGACTTAATGCACTTAAATAGTAACAAAAATGTTAACATTATACCATAATAAGCTGTAATAGAATAAGGAATTTTATCTCTACAAATAGGATAGTTTTCCTCATTACACCAAACTAAAGCTATAAAAGGACTCTGGTTTCAATAAATCTTCTTAGATTACTTTACTATATATTTTGTTTACTAACTTCTTGTCTTAAATATCCTTGAGTATAGTGTTTTTTCCCTTTAAGAAATTGTACTAAATGATAAAATGAAGAAAAACTTTTGCTCCTGTGTTTCATCATTTGAAAAATCTGTGAAAGATGACATACATTTGAAATTCATGATTTTTACCAATTACACTGAGAAAAAATGTGAATAAAGAAAAACTACTAAGAAGAAATTTTGTGAGGACAAGAATTTTACTCTGAAAATAAAATTGTATAGTTAGCTAAGAAATCAATAGTCAAAATAAGCCTAAAGATAAAAATCAAAATAGCCTGAGATTCTTTGTTTTTTTGTCTGTTACTAGAGTTGGAACTCACTCTCACACTTTCTAGGTTTGCATGCCAAGCGGGTACTCCACCACTTGAGCTACAACTTCAGCCCAGATTTTTGCTGGTTATTTTGGAGACAGAATCCCAAGGATTTTCTTGCCTGACTCATTTCAAACCACAATCCTCCAGATCTCAGCCTCTTAAGTAGCTAGGATTGCAAACCTGAGATACCAAAACCAATCTGAAACTAGATTTTTTTTAAAAAATCAAGAAATGGAAGATAAGAAATTAGATCTAAAATGTCTTTGAATTGTTCCACTCCTTCTTGCTAAAAAGAAGGGACTATTAGCCACTTTGTAGACCTTGGGGACAACACAAGCAGAGACTCTACTCTGAGATGGTTAGCATGATGTGTCAAATCAGGTGCCTAGATCCTTCTTTTTGGATATGATCAATATTTTTAATAGAGTGCTATGACCTGAATAACGTTTGTATTTGACCCGCATTGTTCATATAGTAAAATTTAATTCTCATTGTACAAAGTGGAAACTTAACCTGAAATGGCATTCAGAGTTGGTAGCTTAGAGATGTGATCAAGCTTAGACCAGGTCACTAGGATTGAGCTCCTAGGAGTGAATCCCAATGGTCTTATAAGAAGAGAGAAAGAAATAAGAAAGAGCATAAGATTTATATTACAAAGAGGTATGCTTCCTCTTGCAATAAAATTTTCTATACTTCCTCAGGACTGTACCACTATGAAGAATCATCAGACATATCCATCTGCAGAACTGTGAACAAAATAAACCTTTTTTCTTTATAACTAATACAATGTTTAGTATTATGATCAAAGTAAAACATACTAATACACTGAATAAAGCATAATGCCCTCTTCAATGTAGATGGCCTTCAACCATCTACAATGAACCAATTTTGTTTCAGAAGACACAAACTTGAAGTAAAACATTTTCTCCTAAATAGTAACTGTATACTATATGAAAAATAATGCAAACTTTATTGTTGGGAATCTGTCTTAATGTTAGAGCGTCTGTCCAGCATGCACAGGTCTAGAGTTCAATCTCTATCACTAAAAACTTATGAGAAACGTAAGTATAATGATCAAGGTCTGAGGCTTGGGCATAAAAGTAAAGGCCCACTCTAGGCACTGGTGGCTCACACTTGTAATCCTAGTTACTCAGGAAGCTGAGGTCTGAGGATTGAGGTTCAAAACCAACCTGGGCAGGAAAGTCTGCCTATCTCCAATTAACCACCAGAAAACTGGAAGTGGCACTGTGGTTCAAGTAGTGGAGCACTAGCCTTGAGCTGAAGAGCTGAGAGACAGTGCCTAGGCCCAGATTTCAACTGACCAAAAAAAAAAAAAAAGGGGGAAAGACCCTATACAAAAATAACTAAAGCGAAAGAGGTTGGGGATATGGATCAAGTGATAAACCTGCTTATTAGCAGGTCTTATGTTTAAACCTGGGTCAGGGCAGGGTGGGGGGAGGGCAGAAAGAGAGGAGGGGGGAGGAGGAGAGGAGGAAGAAGGGGAAAAAGAGGAGAGGGGGAAGGGGAAGCAGCAGCAGCAATTGCCTCATGGTTCTGAGGTCCTAAGTTCCATATCTGTACCACCAAAATCTGTTATTTAATCAGTCTTCAGTCACACAAAATTGGAACAGTATGTGTGAAGAAGATCCTCTGATAAAAAGTGATATGGTGAAAGACGTAAAGATGGAATATGATATTTGACTTGGATTGTTTAAAATGGATAATGAATGATTTTAAGATATAAATGTAAATGTGTTGTGGATAAGACTTCCCTGGTAACTTACTATTTCAGCTAGCAACTGTAATTGTAACTCTGTAACCCTGTCACTCTGTAACTCTGCTTCTGCTATTTTCTGAGCAATGCGAGCCCTAACCCAGCAGAACCATCCCCACCCTTTGTTCTATTCCCCTGCTTCCCACCAGCAAAACCTTGGTGGGAAATTTAAACTTAAAGTTCACATTTCTTGTAACAATCATTGGATAAAACCAACACCTAGCCTCCCCTTTTCCCCATCGGGCTGGCCCTCAGGGCCATTTCCTGGGATCGCAACTCCAGGTGCGGTCCTCATGTGCAGTCCTCATGCATCAGCACTTTTCCCTCAATAACATCTTTTACATTTTCACTGCTGGCTGAGTGGTCTGTCTCACAGCCCCTCCCCACTACAAAAAGAATTCACAAAGTAAAAACTAGTAAGTCTAACCTTTCAAAGTCAAACCAATACAATATTAAACTTGGCCAGAGTGTCCATTCAAATGTTGCATGTTATGAGACAAAGTCAGTTGAAATGATAAAATAATGGATTTTTTTATAGTTCTGAGTGTTGAACATAGTCCTCACAATTAATAACACTACTACTTGAGCATATACCAAGAACTTTTTGCTATAGTTAATTTTTAGACAGGGTCTTGCACTTTTGACTGGGCTACCATTTGATAGTGAACCTCCTACCTTCTCCCCTATAGCTGAGATTATAGAAGTGAAGCACTGTGCCTTGTCAAAATACTGGTGTTAATTTGCTATTTTTACTATGTATTATGTTTGTTTGTTTGTATGTATTTTTTGTGGAACTGATACCAAACTCTGTCTTTTATGTTGGACAATGTTTGTACTATTGAGTTACATCCTTAGCCTTGACTAAGTTTTACATACAGGATAACTATAAATCACTTAAAATAGTAGAGTTTTCAAACTCACTTTTAGTTTTATAGATAGATATAAATATGTATCATATATAATAAACATAGTAAATTCTCTTTCCTCTTCCTAGAGTTCTATGTTTTTGTCTCTGAGAAATTTAATAAATGTATTACCAACTTACAACAAAAATACAAATAATTTGAAAGTAGTGAATATATATTTCATTTTGAAGTAGCAAATATTTTTATTACATTATGATCCTCAGAAATATTAAAAACAAGAGACAGGCTACATGCTTTTTTCAGGCAATTAAATTCAGGCAAGAAAAATGACAAATAGTAATTTGTAAAATGAATGTTTACTTGGTATATTTTTGTATTTGCATGGTTACTACTAAAGACATGATTCAATGTTCACCTTTAGCTGTAGTATCTTCTCTAAGTTTTCAATTTTTCTTTCAGCCATGCTCAGCTTCCTTAGCTCCTCAGAGTCTAAGAAAGAGCTCTTTGGGGACAAAGACCTTGAATGTTTCACAGGTGGTTCCTTGAGAATAAAACAAGGACATGGTTGAACTAGTTGAAACACTGGATTATAAAAGACATGCAAAATTAAAGAACAAGTAATTTTGAATACTAATAATGAATTATAAAAAAAAAGTCCTGCATGGAATACCAGAGAAATAACAAGCGGAATTACCACAATGCTACCACTAAAGGTTTCTCTGTGACTCGTTAATGAGAATATTCATTTACATTTACATTGTTTCTTTCAGAATAATGATGTCCCATTAGGGAAGACTAAAGGGTTATAGACTCAGAAATGCAAGAAACCTCATTACAAAGGAGGGGATAGAGGCTGGTCTAATTGCTCTATAAGGGTCCAAGGTTACACTTGATAGGACAACCAGAAACAAGAGGGAAAGGATTTTTTCCCTTTGAAATAGTTTAACACACTGTGAAGTTGAAGGAACAATATGCTAGAGGAATATAAATACAACAGACAGTAGATCTTATACCATAATGACCATATGGTCATTAACTATAATGTGGCTAACTAGAGACAAGAATGTGTGTTTATATTATGTACAGTTTCATATACCAATCTGGAGAATATGAGAAGGCAACTATTAAGCTGGGCAACATAGTGTTCATCCTAATGCATGTCCTTACAAAAAAGAAAAAAAAAACTTGTATAAAATGCATTCCTTTTTTTATTAAAAGAAGACCATCAATGTAGTACATTTTTAAACTTTAGCAATATAGTAAGCAATCAAAGAAAGACCTATAATGTTGCATTTCTATTTTACAAGAATGTTTAATTTAAATAAACATGGCAAGATATATATGATACAGTTATGATTTTAAAATGAATAAAATTCATTCCTCTGAGAATAACAATATTACAGGGACTCATAAGAGTAACACAGACTCATGGGTCTAATTTCAAATGCTTCCTCTATTATGACAGTTTGTTTTACTCGAGAAAAAAATGGAAAAATTACTGTGAAAAGTTTGTTTTATATATAAAAAAACATTCTCCCTGTATTGCTGATGTAAAAAGTTTAAGAAAAATAATCTAAATCTCCTTACTTATAAAGGAATGTCTTACTTATAAAGGAATGTCTTTTCCTCTTATGTGGAAATACAATAATTAATAAAACTGCAATGTGTAATGAAATTTTTGTATTAGTCAACAATCTAGGGAATCTTTTGATATATGACTTAAATATGTAATGAATACTAAAAAGGGAAAACTCAAGACAATAATGAGAATATCCTATACAAAAGATGTTCATTTTTTTCTACCTCTTTAAACTTATAAAATACCAATACATGTTAATGTTAAAGTCCATTTATTATTTTATATCCCACATTGACCATATATTGAATATTTTATTAGAATAAAAACTTAGAAACACTTTTACTTCCACTAAATTTAAGAACTGAAAAATAACTATGTCATTTTTAAAAGAAATAACCAATACTGTCCCATTTTATTATAGATAAGAAATACTTAGGAAAACATTTCAATGTAAGTATATAATTCACTAACAAAACAGGAATACTACTAACAATATACTCAATTATGTAATTAGGAAAAATATTATTTAGGCTTTAAAAGGGAATTATTTCCTACTCCTTGGATGCCTTTTAAAGATCATTTAGCACATAATATTATTTAATTTCAATAAACACAGACAAGGAAGTACATAACATTGTTTGTTTCTGAACTTTATCTTTTGGATTGTCAGCCTCATCCTAAAAAACACAAAGTGACAAGAGGTCTCTACCTTCTGTTTTCCTTCAGTACTTATAATGCTCTTCTCTGGAAAAACGTTGGTACAGTTATTCTCAGATAGCTTTTGACTTGCAATTTTCAGTTTCTCTTGCAAATACTCAATTTCAGACTTTTGTGAGACCATTAGTGTTTCTAAGCTTGTTAGTGATGGCTGTTCAGACACCTATTTTTTAAAAATATATTAATAAATATCTAGGCTATGGTTATATATTAGTTACTAATACATGAAAATACTACATGTATTACATTATACACATTATAAGCATTCATTGAAAGCTCATTTTAACAGTAAACTATAAGCTATAAGGAACTAGAGCACAGCTCAGTAGCAGAAGTTATACACACCACACTCAAGGCACTGTGTTCAATCTCTAGACCCCACTTAAAAAAAAAAAAAGCTAACTACCATTACTTAAAATGCATCATATAATAGAAGATAGGTCTCAATAAAACACCAAGAGTCTATATGTCTAGATATATATTTTCATAAAGAGTTTCATGGTTTCATGAAATACACTATTCATGTATAATTGTACATAGTTCCTCATGATATAACATATCACTGGATCATCAAGAGTCAAACAGTAGCCTAGAATATAAACCTGAGAGAAGGGAAACAGTAACAGTAGCCTAGGTCTAATTATCTTATAATATATCATAAGTTAATAATGATGCTACAAGAGCTCTGACATATTTACAAGTCAATAAACTATTCACCATTCTCTTCTGAAACTTAACTCATGTGTCAAGTAAATTGCTAATGGTAGACCTAACATTTTAACAACCAAAGTCACAGGAAAAGCTGGTAAGAAACCTGTCAATGAAAATTAGTATTATAGAAATTCTACCATCTCTACTGACTTGAAATCATAAAACAAAAATATATGTGCTATTTAAAAGTAATCACTTCCTATGCAAAAGCTTAAAATATTCAATCATAGTCAAAAAAAGTTTTTTTATCCACCTAGAAATATCAAATCTTATGTTGTGAATATTATCAATATGGAACTAATAGCTCTGAAAGTATTTTCACTTAAAGTTATAGAGGATTAGAGTTATAAGATAGGGCCCTAAGTTTCACTTAAGAGTTTTAGACTCCATCCTTCCTAAATGGTATTTCTAAGGACTATGAGAACATATGTATGTATGTATTTACATGCATGTGTCTGTGTGCATGTGTCTAAGTGTGCATATAAGTCCAAAACAACTGAGTAATACTATCTATTTTCAGTTCTGCCTTCTGTTTTCTTTTTAAGTAAGATAAGCACAATTTTCCTATTTCTAACTTGTAAATTTAAGGGTAAGGGGACCATTTTGATATATAATATTACACTATCCATATATTTAAATTACCTGATTTGTTTCCCAGCCTTTATTTTATCATCTTATTAAACATTATCTTCAAAGTGTTGTTGTTTTTATTATACTATTATCACTTTTGGATTGCTTATTCCATTACATTTTTGAACACAAAATAACTTTATAACATTTCTCTTCTAGTGAGGCTATATGATTTTGCCATATTATTTCTCACTATTTTTAACCACTGTATTGCCTTTTCACAATCAAAATTATTATATATTCAGGGTGCTGGTAGCTCATGCCTGTAATCATAGCTAATCAGGAAGCTGAGATCTGAGATCAATGGTCAAAACCTGCTCCAATAAGGAAGTCCATGAGATTTTTACCTCCAATTAAACACCAAAAAAGACAGAAGTAGAGCTATAGCTCAAATGGTAAAGTGATAGCCTTGAGAAAAAATGCTCACTAGCAACACCCAGGACTTCAGAACTCTAGGACTGGCTGACGTGCGCGTGTGCACACACACACACACACAGACCACATCTATCATTGACTGCTAAATAATTTTCAAGGCTATCATCTCTTGTCCAGTTTTTCATTAATAAAATTATGAAGGATATGTGAATACCCTGTCACTAAGTTTTCAATAACTTGTTCACGGTCAATTTAAAATTTAGAATAAAGCAGGAGAAAGATAATTTTACTTTACTGGTATATCCAATAGGCAAATTAGGTTAAGAAGAATTTAGTATTCTTAAAATTGTTTTTAAAGTCATACCTTACCTAAGAATATAAGAAAATTAATAATCAATCAAGAAACTTTAATAAAGATTCAGGAAGAAAAATGCTCCAAAATACTCAGGAACGAGACAAGGATGTCCACTCTCTCCACTTCTCTTCAATCTAGTATTAGAATGCCTAGCTACAGCAATAAGACAAGATGCAAATATAAAGGGGATCCAAATAGGGAAA